CATTACTAATATAATTAGCTAACATGTTTTCCACCTCGCTCATGATTCATATTAATCAAATTAATTTCTTGGTCTCCAGACAACGAATAATAGAAGTCTTTATTGTTTCTCGATATCAATATAAAGCATTAACTAGGTGTTCTCTTTTACAAAGTAACTTGATATTAATTCTACAGATCTATGCTGCCAATTTTTAGCGAAGGGTAATATATTGAACAGTTCTATCAGATAACGAAAATCATTCCATCATACTCAAAGCAAGCAAACCAGATGACACTGTAATTTTGAGACGATTCATGGCATAACTCTGAATGAACTAGGATGGTCTCAACCGATATTCAAAACTCCGCTTGAAAGAGTCTAAACATAATGAAACCACCGCTGGCTTTCAAACCGTCGAGAACAGATACTACACCTAGATCTTCGCTGAAAAAGCCGAGCAGCAATAGCTGTTTTTTTGTTTTGCTATAAGAAATCTTCATTATGATATTGTCATTTCGCATTTAAAGAAAGTAACAATGAAAGTAAAATTAACAATAACACGAGATGATTTTATAATAGTGAATGTAACTATTTGGTATCATGCAGATCACTATTCAAAAAAATTGATTTATCTCAACCATTGTTCAACTATCTTACATCGAACAAAATTTATCTCTAGAGTTTTTATAAAAATGGTGAGAACCTTGAGATAGTAATCTGAATTACACCAGTTAGGATGATTCGAATCATTCCAACTGGAGAGAACTTTGAAACCCTCTAGTATTTCTCAAGTAGGTTTTCAAGTATTGTTCCTTAGACAAGAAAATGTTCGTCTCATTTTGCTCTATCTTCTCATGTGAAACGAGGCAAATATGAACTAATTTGGCCGATTATCAATCGAAATTATGAAACAAACAAAAAAGAACATGTTTTTTTCGAGTCATCCTTCCTATCTTTGGATGAATATTTCATTTTTATGAAGTCTCACGAAACAAAAATAACTCGATGAAAAGCAAACTACTCTCTCTTGATAAAAAAAAGAATTTGAAACCATCTATCAATTCTCTGAAAATAGAAAATTCTGTTGTGTGGATGAGATTAAAAATACTAATCATATAATCATTAATTTATATAGTTCTATAGTATATGTCTTTCTTTCATTAGTACGCAGATTAACGGTACATACATTATTTAATGAATTTGGCTTTGACTATCTCAAGGAAAGATATAATAATTCTGACTCATATATTCATTATGTTATACGTATTTCTTACATCTTCTCCACAGAAAAGTATACTTGATCTTATGTGGGACACATTTCTCAATGTCCAAACACTTACGATCAACATGTACTTTTTTTTACACAAAATGAGTTGAATCGATTAGTTTGATGTAAATATAGTTTTATAGTAATTGAAGATTACAATATACGAGTAGATGATTTTGTTTGTGATATACTTATAGTATATTTCTCATAGAAAATGAATATTCTGAAACAAGTCAAAACAATTTCAATTCAACATTATACTGACAATATCTTTATTATGCTGGTATTAAGAATGCTATAGATTTTCTTAATTTTACAATAAAGCATATCCTTCAGCCCATTTTTCACGGCGATATTTCTTTTGTTTTTCTGACTTTGTTACGTCTAACTATACCATCATTCGAGTTCATGAGTATATGACATATGGAAATCTCGGTTTATTAAATTCATGTAGAATTATTCTATAAATAGTTATTTAAAATTAAAAGTATTGTCGATAAATTTTATATGTCAGAAGAAACTAGTGCTAATTATTTTCAGTTTTTTTTCTTTGTTATTACATAATTGCATTATCGTCTAAGATAATATTTATAGAAATATCATGACATTTGTCGATCTCTATAAGAGATGGTTTTATTTTATTTTCAAGTTTAAATGAAAATTGTTCAAAGTTCTCTGCATATTGTTTTCTTTTTCTTTTATTAAAATCATCATAATTGGTATACTCGAATGATGATAACATACAATACAATAGTCATTCACGCTCTAGTGTCTTCTTTGTTTTTACAAAAAGAAATTATTTTCCTAACTCATTTCCCTATTATGAATGAATACTTCATTTTTAGGAGAAAGAGAAAGTTTTTATTTTTGTCTTTGCTCATAAAACTTTTCCAAATCTCAAGAAAATAAAATATCCTTGAAATATCGATGACAAACGAAAGAAATTTAAAAAAAATGTTTTCGTTTTATTTCTTCTTCAAAAAAAGTATCTTTTTTTATCATTTCGATGATAGTTGTTGATTTAATTTATTTTCTATCTTCTGATGTTATAGCATTTTATTTTTCAAAATATCTTCTACAAAATGAAACTGATTGATTGATGAAATCCTAGCAAAACGAAAAACAAAAAAAAATTGACGTTTCTCTAGAAGTGAGGGTAGTCGAACAAGTATTTATTTATCGATCAATCCAAAATATAATGACTTCGTAATATAAAATGTTCTTGTCTCAAAAATGAATTTTTAGAATTAGTAGTTTTTTTCCACTGTGCCTTACATACTTTCTTTTGATAGATAAAAGGAAACGTAAAATTGTATGAGTAACTTAACCTTGTTTTTCTTTTTAAATTTCAAAAGAAAGAGAAAATGTAATCAGAAAATTTTATAATTTATTAGATGATACCTATAGAAAGTAATTATTAGTTATTGCCTTTCTTTTCTGTTTTATAAAAGATTTCAACATTTCTTAGTTTCACGTACATAACCAAACTTCTAGTGTACTGTAATGGTTCATCTTTATATAAGGATCCAAAACAAGTTAATTCATCAACTCAAGTTGATTTTAATGAAGACTTTTCGTTTGATTACAAAGAATAATTCATTGAACATATTAACTTTGTAGAAAATGTAATCTTCATTTTAAGAATAGTTAAGATATTGACATGGGTATAATCATCAAAATCTGCCATAAGATAAAATTGAATTTTCTTGGTCATATGTATCAATTATGAGTAGACAATAAATGTAATAAAGGAGTAACTATCGTTCACTTATTATGAAGGATAACTGTATAAAATAAATCTTTTCGATAAGCACGTTCTGTCAATATCACAACAAACTATCAATGACCTGTATTACTGATTTTTATATATGTATTCAACTGCATTCACAAATTCAGAGAAATAGTGATGAATATCAAACTCTCAAAATTATTTTCAATATTAGATTTAATCATTTCGTGATTGTGGATATATAAAAAACAAAACGAATGTTGAGGCACATGCACCAGAAGTCATGAATTCCTCTTAAAGTATACAGCTGATTATACAGTATATATTATCGTTTTTATTTTCTTTTCCCGATATATCTATAGAAAAAAAAATTATTCATTTTATAGATTATGAATAGAAAACAGTGACTCAAAAACAATACTATTTCTAGCTTTTGGAAATAGTCTTTTATATTAAACTACATCAGATAAAATGTTAGTAGAAAGAATGAATTGAGTTTAGATTTTATAAGCACTATCGTTTTTGCATATTCCACTTTCTTTTGAACGTAATCTAATGTAATGCGTAAAAACAAGAAGAATGGCGTGCTCTTACTTCATTTGTGACAAGTTTTTCTTTCCCCTTGAACAATGCATCGCTTGTCAGAAGGCGCAAGTGAAATCAATTAATTGATCATATCAACTGAGTCATGAAAATTGAGAAATATAAGAAAGAACAGAATTGTTTTGTTCATTGAAAATTTCAAAAACTAAATGCTTTTATTGATCAAATCTATTCAGTTTGTTTAAATATTTACGAATTTTTAATATTAATCAATGAGATAGATAATTGTTTCTAATTACTGAAAAAATCACTGTCTATGAAATTATATCATATGCTTAGAATTAAATAAAGTATATTCTGTGTTTTTATAGTTTGCAACTTCATAGACGATAAAAACAAATCTAAGTGAGAAATAAACTTGTCAATCTAATGATTTCATGATAGTAATAGACCATTGTAGGTGTATTCGTGTATTTTATATGATTTTTTTCTCTCTTACAAAAATTGTTCAACAGATAACAGAACTTTCTTTTGTTTTCATAGTACTTAGTTTATTCAAATCTTTCGTCAAATTATTGTCGGTATATTCTTTGTTTCGATTAGATGGGAATGTTATGAAGTTTCATAAAAAAGAAAACATACTCAACAACTTATTTGTGTATTTTTCTCTTTAAGTTTTGATGTTTTTGAAAATAATACAGGCATATTCGGACATATATCCGTTTTCCATAATTTTATAAAGACAATTAGAAAAAGTATTAATTAAATAGGTATATACATAGCTAGACTAGAATATTTTTTATTAGATTTGTCTTGTTTTCCGTAATTGATATGACAAGAGAACAAATTGAAGGGTCTTCGTTGCTTAATATAGTCATAAAAAACTATTCAATTCTCTCATCAATATAGACATTGTTCAATTGGTATTTTTTTGCCGATTTCGTTATGCAATGAACTGATGTAGTTATCGAGTGTTTGTAAAAGGGACAGTTTTATTGCGATATTTATTTTGTTTTTCTTTCCAAAAAAAGTGAACAAATGTGAGTAAATAATAGGTGAGAAAATGTACAAGCAAAACATTTCATTTGAAGAGAGCTTGTTACAATGCATAATTGAACTAAACAAATAATAAAATAATGTATAAAAGGAAATTACTAAGATTATTAGTTAATAAAATTGATCTGAATATGAAGTATCTTTTGTTTATGCTTTATATTTATTGATTTAAATCTTATAATTTCAATTAGTTTGTTGTCTGTTGACAATAATAAGAAAATATTTTGTTATACTCGAAGTACGTTAATTTCGTTGACTGAAAAGTATCTCTGCCTTTTTTAGAAATCAAATTATGTATAGATCAAATATTTGATTTTGTAAAAGAAATCTCAATAATAATAAATCAATTAATTAATCAACCATATATTTCTTTTCTCATTAGACTTCCATGAAAGAATTTTGATAAAGCTGTGTTAACATTCTATGCGTGTAAAAGAATTTTCGTAAGAACAGTATGTTAAGAAGTATAAGTGAATCTTTGAAAAGTGGAAGAAAAATTTGATCTAAATGATATTTAAAGAAAATTGCAAATGTCCCCCTATGAAGTCATATCCTTCTCGTCACTTTTATGAGAAGTTTCTATCAATAAAAAGGCTTATAATAAAAAATTTATTGACATACTTATATTCGATATATATGATAGAATTCAGATTGATGTTGATGCTTAAAGAATATTTGCGTAAAGTTTTTTGTTTAAAATATTAAGTAACTTCTCCCGATCGTAACGTATTAAACAATGAGTCTTTTGATAAGATTCATAAACAATTTTCTTTGTGTTCTAATATTTATTTAAATATAATTTATGTTTCTTTTTTCAAATGACTTCAGTTCAATTCAAATAGTCATTAGTCCAGAAATCTTACTCATATGAACTGCTGATCGCAAGATTCAATTAGTATGATTAGGTACAACAGATCAGGCATCATATAATCATGGTTGCATAAGAGGAAAATAATTTTTGAATTTTTATATCAAGACAGAAGAACTCTTTGCCAGTATTTTCATATGAAAAAATCCAATATGATTTTTTTATATTAACCTCTTTGTGTATCTGTTGTGTCTGTTATTTATTTGATTAAATTAGTAAATTGAATGAAGACATTAATAATTGTTTTCTTATTTAAACGATTAATGTGGAAAATCAGCTATTGTAATCAATTTAAATTAAATAGTCTGGTTGCTTTACCTTTTATTTTGAAATAGGAACAATGTTTGACCTTTTCATGGTCATGTAAAACAATTGAGAATGTTCGTTTCCAGAAAAAAGTGCATTTTGATCAGAGATTTCTCTTTAGGTTCTCTAATAGTGTAGAGCTAAGTTCAAATTTGGGTGTGGGTGTAGATAAAGAGAAGACCCCTACCCACACCCACACCCTTCAAAAAAATTTCTTCAAAGAAAATGTTTATCAAGATCAAATAACAGGAAAATTAGATTTTATTGGAGATACAGTAGAACCATTTCATTTTATTTTACATCCAAAAGATTAACAAAATTTAACTCGTGAAGATCAAGATAAAGGAAAAGAATTATATTCACTTTTAGTTCAATTTGAAATTATTCAAGGAGATACAATAAGAAAAATATTTCGAAATAATTCACAAGAACGAGATAAAATAGAAAAGATAATTCGAAATGATCTTGATCCTTCGATTGCCGATCCATTAATTAGTTTATTAAATAGTAAATCTTATTTTGAAAAAAAAAAGATTTCGACGATATTGTTTGTTATAGTGAAGAATTATGGCAAATTTTAAATATAAATAGAATAGAAAAAGAATTACCACAGATATATGAAAATGTTTGGAAAGATTTAGAAGATAAAATAGATCCACAACAAGTTAATATTTCTCTATTTGAACAATCAATAGAAAGGAAAATATGCGAAAATTGAATTTAATGGTAGTGGTCATGAAACAAAAGATCTTAAAACATTTTTAATAGAATTAAAAGATAATATTAGTCAACAAAATCAATATTTTTATCAAACAGATTTACCATTTACTATTAAAGAAGAAGAAGGAAATAATATTCGAATTTATCAAAAAGAAAAAAATATTTTAAAGTCTGGTGGACTTGCCAAATATAAATATGGAGATGTTAAAAGAAATATTGAAAGAATTTTAAATAAAATTTTAAAAAATATTCAATTTGAAAATGATAAAGAATTAATTTTGTCGAAAATTTTGTCTTTACAAGGAGATATTCGTTCATTTAGAAAAGGTTTAAAAACTAATTTAAAAGATTTTATAGATCTTCAAGATCAAGAAAATGTTCCAAGTGAATTAAGATTTTTTTGAAGGTTTTAATCTTAATAAATTTTTGATTATTGAAGAAGATAAATCTTGGTGGGGTTGAAATGCTTTTGCCGTTGCAATGATAGGACTTGTTCAAGTCGTTGCCGGAGCTGTTTTAGTAGCCTTTGGTTTGACTCAGATAGGCAATGCTTTAATTAGTGAAGGTGTTTCTAATATGGCAGAATTATCAGGTACTTTTAGTTGGAAAGAATGGGCAATACAAAAAGCAATTAGCTTCGGTCTCTCTATGTTGACTGTTGGAATTGGAAAGTTTTTGACGGATAAAATTATGGAACAGATTCAAGAAAATGTATATACAAAAGATTGTTAGTAAAATAGAAGAAAATTTATTAAAAGGAATAATCGGTTTAATAAATAATAAAGTAGAAACCTCTTTATCTTCAAAGTAAAAATGAAGAAGAGTTCGAAAAATCTTTTGAAGAATTGAAAAAACATATTAGAAAAAACATTAGGAAAAGATATTTTATTACCTCAACAATTTGATAATATTCGAACACGATGTGTATCTTCTATAAGAAATAGTTATCATCTATTTGCTGATGGTCTAAAGAAATCAAATTCAAAATACGTTAAAATAGCTGCTACTACTCTTAAAGCAATAGATATCATTAATAAGTTGTGGGCTGTAGTTCAATCTATCTTACAGTTCGAACATGTCTTTAATACTTTAAAAGATATTATTGAAGGTCCTACCAAAGAAAATCAGAATATCTATAGAAAAAAACATTAATCAGAACCTTGTCGAAACAACAGCAGAGCAATTGAATAGAATCATTAGAGAATATATATATCAACCAAATTAACAAAAGAATTAGATAAAGTAGTAAGACAAGCTATTAATGGAATATTAAAACAGACTGGAAAAACCATTGTACAAGGAATAAAGACAATGGTTGATTCACAATTTAATAGAAAAAAATCCAGCTAATATATTGAAACAATCGAATCAAAATAGACAAAATCATGCAGAAAGTCAAATTGCTAATAAATCAAGATTCAAAGAAAGAATAACAAGATCGAGCGAAAAGAGAAGATCTACAAAATAATATGAGAAATCCAAAACAAATTACTGCAAGTTATTTGAGAGAAGCAAAAGATAAAGATAGAGCTTTAGGTCTAGCTGATATAAAAATGTTAGCAGATCGTAAAAGAAGAAAAATAACTGTTTACAATTCAGATACTGACGAAAAAGAAATAATAAATCCTTCAGGAGTAAGAAAAATACCTGCTCTTTTTAAACAATCTGCTAAAATCTATTATGAAGCAGATGAAAATGGAGATATTGGACATTATTTTACTGGTAGAGGAACAGAAACATATATACAGATCAATGGACGGAAAGATTGTTTGCTAATAGCTTATCATGAGTCATTAGGGAGAAAAGTAAATGAAAATACTATAGGACAAGAACAAGTATCACTACGCCGTTATACTGCTAAACATTCAGAAAAATATGTTAGAGACGTAGATGGGAGATTGATATGAATAGACGTAATCAGTTGATAGGTGGTACACCAAAGAAAAATCTTTACATCTTCAATCCTATAACTGTAATGCAGGATGGATTGCAAAATGGATCGGTACCATTGGCAAATATTAAAGAAAAAAAACAACTTTCAGATGTTATAAGCAATAGAGATCTAGAAAAAGAAATAAAATATAAATTAATGCCTGAAGCTATGAAAAAATTAAGGAATGAAAATGATAAACTAGTGGTAATTACGTCTCAGCCATCTAAGGTGGGTACAATAAAGCAAACAGATAATGTACGCTTAGATGATCAGAATTTTACTGGAAATAGTGACTATGTTGATTTTCAAGTGCAAATAGGTGGATAGAGATATAAACATCAACGTAGAGGTAATGAATCTACAACTGTCGCACATATTTTAGTGACAAGACCACCAACAGATTCTGATGCTGTTTATCATTATAGCTCAAGAAAAATTGCTAAGACCCTTCTTGATAGTTTAAGTAATGGCAAAACAGTAAAATTACTTGCAGAAAATCTTTAATAGGCATTTCAAATTAATCACCTTTAAGTTTTGGTTAAAATTTATATGTGAACAGTATCAAAATCTTTTCCATCGATACAATGTTCCCATTATTGTTTAAATAAATCTCATTATTAGTAGCATATTCCCTTTCTCCTTATGTATCTTCAGCAATCAATGTGTTGCCTTCTTCAGATTTTATTGATCGAATGAAATGTACTAGAATATATACACTTTCACCTTTCTGTTTTTATACAATTTGACAGTAGATCAGTATAACAGTAATAACTTGCAGGAGTGACTTTTCTCTTGTTATTTTCTTTGAATGATGACATGATCTCGGAAATACTAGCCAAGAAAGTCTATACACCCTCAATCATCAAAGACTGTGAGTGCTCAGTTTGACCGAAAGCTTCAGTTCTTTTTCTATCATCTTGCTTCCATAATACATCAGAAAAAAATGTTTTTTTTTACGACTTACAGTGTTTGCATAATGCTAATGAACGCTATCTCATGTGAAATCAAAATCTTCAAAAAAATCTGTTTGTAAGTAGAAAAATATTTTTTCAAGACTTTGATTTTTTTCATTTTACATAAGATAGAGACTCCTTAGACTTGCCTGTTCATTAGAATTATGTGAACACTATAAGTGGTAAAAAAAATCATATTATGGAAGCAAGACGATAGAAAAAGAATTGGGGCTTCCGGTCAGACTCAGCACCTCCGTATAATTCCAAATATCATTTCTAAAAAGTTTTGTTTGTCACAATTTACTGCAAAAACATTCATATGTTTGTGTGTACAAAGTTTCGTCAAACTAATAAAGAAATGTACGTTTAAAACTAAAAAATTTTACTAATATCCATTCTCTGTTTAAAAACGCCTATTAATTGAGCTATCTCAATTACTTTCACTTATGTATTGCGTTTTTTTGTATAACAAGTTGTCTGTTATGTTTTATTATTCATCTTTCATTATTGTACTGTTTCCTATTCTATAATAATTTTCAGTATATTGTGCCAACATATTTATATTATATATTAATATGTTGAAATTGAGTGTTCCTTCCCTTTTCTGTATTACCCACACTTTTGATCTTGTAGATGATTTTTAGCAAATGACGGCTAGTCGCTCTTCCATACTGCTGTCTAGTCAATTTGGTACTAATAAGACAAAAAAATGTGAGCAAAAGAAGATAGAATTGAAGCATTTTAATTGGCCTTGTTAGCATCGTATACTTCATGCCTCACTATAACATTGATGACGTAAACTGATCTGATAACCATTTTGTCTGACGGCACACTCAAAATTTACCGAAATTAATATCCAAAATAATCAGTAATACCTTGACCAGAATATCTTGATTGTGAACATTTGCAGAACATTTCAAGATGAAAATGTGTCCCTACGTTGTCATTAATAGTCAAAGACTAAACTTTATCTTCGATACAACACCAAAAATTTTTCGGATCGAGTATGTGTAACGAAACCTCTCAACACTTTGAAATTTTTTGTTCAGAAAGCAAGCTTTGATTCGTTCTATCATGACTGTAGTGGATTTCCTCATGAAAGTAAAACAATTGAAATCAAGTGGATATGTGATAACTTACGAAAATTAGCAAATCTTGATACTGTCAAAATCAAATTTTTCATAAAACCAGTATCAAGCTAATCCATGTGAAATTCTGGGCGTCAAGAACTAGCGTGATCATCTTATTTCATTACATTTCAGTAAAGGAACTTACATCCTGAAATGCATCCAAATCGATTGCACAGATTTGATGTAATTCTATTACAACAAAATGATTATAGTCAATCACACATTGAGTTTATTGTCATCACAGAGAATATAATGTTTGCGAAAAATATAATCATCTATATCGATAATGTCCACTGCTATCAAATAGAAATCATGCTGAAGGTATTATTCATATATGTTTGTTCTCTTTCTTTTTGTCAAGTATTTTCTCTATTGTTTTCTGTTGGAGTCTTCTTATACCGGTTTTTCTTGCTTTGATGTTCTAACCTATATATTTTCCAAATATATTGTGTTATCTTTTGATATATTTCATTTTTTGCTTAATATTTGATGTAATATCTGGTATTTCTATTAAAGTGTATCGGTTTTTAACTTCAAAAATAAACGTGTTCTACATAAAAATGTATAATGGATGTGATGCCTGGCATCTGGAAGTCGAAACCGAATGAGGCAAACTGCCATGACCATGATTTTGATCCAAAACGAGAAAAACTTTATTTCTTTGGGGTGTGAGTGCAGGTATAGATAAAGAGAAAATTCATATCCACATCCACACACCTTATCTGATTCGTACTTTTGGTGAAAGTCACTAGAAGTTGTGCAATAACTCTACAGTGAAAGAGAACACAAGTGCAGCATAATGTTTTCGTTGAGTCGAATCATTGGTGAAGGGTGTGGGTGTGGGTGTGAGTATGGATTTGTCTGTCATTATAAACAAAAGAGATATCCACAACAACACCCACACCTAAGTTTCTAAAGATTTTTAAAAATTTCGTAGCTAGTAGTAAACTCTTTCAGTTCTGTTTTCTGACTCAGAAGACAAAGCCGACACTTTTTCTCTTCCTACTTTGTAAAATGGATTATATGAGTCATATAAAATGATGAAATGACTACCGTGGATAGTTTATAACATAAATATTTAAAGATTCATTTTTTTCGACAAGTAAGTACACGAGTATAAAGAAGATTCGAACAAGTTCTTGCTATTTATTTTTGCGCCTTTGATTCAAAGAGGAAAGACTCGTAAGACAAAGCAAGTCGTTCCTTGGAAGACATTCATTTTAATTTACAATATGGGGCAATGCGTCAATTATAGTAGGAAGTTCGATGTGGAGCGTGAGCGCGAATGTATATATGCTCTCTAACGATTTGATCTAGCTACGAATAATATTTAGAAATGAGAGTTACATTTCAATTGACATCCAAACTCAAAGTCTGGTCCATACGGTCTACTTCAACATGACTGACAAAGACAGCTAATGTCATAGCTGTAAACAAAACCTCTACTTTTTATATCCCTGAGATGGACTATACTATTTAATGATTTTTTTCTTTGCAGAGTCTGCACAATAACCATCTCATTTTAACATGATACTCACCTTTCAACTCAATATTTTAGATGACTTCGATACCGCTGTCGACAAACAACATTGATTGGAACATTTTGCCATTTCCAGATGGTTAGTCTGATGACAAACTTTAATTTGAAGTTTTCTTACGCAGAGAAGATTTTTTTATGAGTTGAGTACTCTTGATTATAAAACTCTCAGTTCATTTTACTATTTATTTTAAGTCTGGGAAAATATTCAGATCAGAAACTCGGATCAGATAAGATTGTCTAGAAGTCAGATCTCATCCAATCCGTAGATGGAGCTCAGCAAGTTGATGATTATCGAATACTTTCTGACTTTATTAAATTATAATGAGCAAGTATAAATTTTGCTGTTGAGTAGAACAGCTCGAATCACCGCAATTTCCAAGAACGGGAGCGAGGAGGCAATATACATTGCTTGCTTTCAAAAACTGATATTTATAACCTTCAAAATTGTTTCACTTATTAATTATTACTTGTATTGAAAATTCTAACAACATTTTTTTCATTTTGTTGTATGAACTGTTCAAAATTCATACAGATATATACTAGTTTAACCTGACAGTTCTGCAGTGGAAAAGTATATGTGAGTTTCTTTTCACATAAGACAAAAATTTAGAAACAATTGATGCATCGTTCGACTCTGTGAATCATATACAGATGCAAGAATCCCGATATTGTTAAAACTTGCAATTCAACTTTGAAACTGTCAATCAAAAGGATAGTAAAATACTGCAAGCTTTACATAGAAACAGCAATAACATTGAAGAGAATTTTTCAATATTTGTAGCAAAGAAGTTTTTTCGTTTGAACTTTTCAATATATCATAATATAGAAAAGCTATTTTTCCATAAAAATGTTCTTAGTGAGCTTTATTTTGAAACATATGATTTTTATATGGGAAAATAGGTGGAAATGTTAATTTGGACTTTAACACCAACACCATCTTAATATAGTACTACTATTTGTCAATGTTACGTACTAAGAGCACTGCTACGCATCCAACTCTTCTACACACCTATTATCAGCTAGACTGTACTATTGTTGATAAATTCTTTTAAAAGTTCATAGTTGCTTGATTTTTTCATTTCTACACAATTTATTCTTTGGCGTCTTCATTCTGTTTTTGTAACGTATACTGTTATCGAATGCTTAACCATCGCTTTGGTTTAAAATGTAGCATGACAGATGGATGAGATTAATGTTTTATATCACACATCCCTCACATACATATAGTTCAGTATAAAATGATTCATAGATAATCCGTTTCTTTTGCAATCGTAAATTGACTTTAAAGGTACTGACTGATTTTACATTTTTTCAATGAGAAAATGTAAGATTAAAATACATAGTATATTTATATGGATGTAATTTGAACACGTCATACAATAATAGGAAAAAATGCTATTGGAATTTTAAACGTCTTCTAACATAAGTGCTGATTCACACACAAGTGAAACAATTTACGATTTTTCTACAACTTCAGTTTTCGTAAACAGCCAACGTACATCGTACTATCGTTTCCAATTACTGAAATGGCACAGAACGAAAGTGCTATCACCTTTAAACAAGTGAGTGTGAATGTACGGATGCGTTTGTAAATCTGATTCACAGAATTCCTCATAATCAGAGCGACATTCACATGCTCTTTAGACAATAAAATGCAACGCTGAGGAAAATCTGACGGCTACAGTTTAGTAGCTTGAACTATGC